AAGAAGGACATAGACAAAAGATTTTACTTATCAATGATCAACGACAATGGGCATCGCCGACGTCGGGGACGTAACCACAGACGTAACGCACAGTGTCTTGAGCCTGTAATCATTTTGGCCCCCTGATGCCTGTGTGGGGGAATGTATTATACTTCATGTTATTCAAATGTTTCGGTACTGTCATGGCGCACATTTTGAGATATTATTGCACGAATTATGCCTTTTGAAACGATTTTTATGAAAGAAAGAAGATCTGTCCCTTTAAATAATGGCTGTAACGTGAGTAAACAATGTTTATAATGCAAGGATAAGTGTATATTTGATTTTTTTCGATCGAAATTGTAATATAATGTTTCATTGGGAGTGCTTGGATATTTCTTCTGAATACTGAGCCAAGTATTGTTATTAATCAAGCATTTCTAGGCAGTCAAGTGCCTCGATAAATCAATTTGAAATTTTGGGTTTACTGATAGTATAGAAAGTGGCTTAGAAAATGTAAATATTGTATATGATAGGGGAGAGTACATTCATGACATAAATTTTCCAAAACTGAATGGCAAGTGAGCGAAGATATGCCAAAATGGAACTCCAACACAGTGTTGTAAAAATTACTGAAAAAAAGTAATGAGTAGAAATTACAATTACTTTTCCTAAAAAGTAATTGATTAGATTACAAATTACTTTACTAGAAAAAGTAATTAATTACCATGTACTAATTACTTTTTGAAAAGTAATTAATTACTAATTACTTTCAAAATTACTTTTCATTTTACTTCTACACATAGTGAGTAGTGACATACTAAATTCATCCATATTTAATGATTAAATCATGCTTTATACCACTTCTTTTGAGTAAAATCATAACCCCCGTGATTAACCCTAGTATCAATACATGAAGTAATGGTGAAAGCTCGACCGCACATTTCACATATTGCAGGCTCATTTTATAAAATGTTTCAATTTTGTAAACATGATATAAATAACATCGTATTCGTTCCACTAGTTCTTAAGACAACCTTAGGCAGGTAGGACTAGAAAAACGTTTTACTACTTTTTAGATTATGTGCAATGAATGTTGTGAGAGATTGAAGTAAAATTGAAAAGTAACGTACGTTACTTTAAGAAAATTTTACTTGTTACCTTCAAAAAGTAATTAATTACGTTACAAATTACTTCAATAAAGAAAGTAATTAATTACCATCAAAATTACTCAAAAAGTAATTTGTAATTAGTAACGTGTTACTATTGTAACGAGTATTTACAACACTGCTCCAAAGTACATGTATATTTCAACCAACCTATATTCGGCTACTATTGTGCAATACATATCTAGCAATAAGTGACAAAAATTCTGATGAAACAATAATTTGCTATGATAAAGTTGTATACCAGATGAAAGTTCATTTGCACTTTTCATCATAATGAATAAAATAATTTTAGGAGTGAATTATGATGACTTGTTTGCACCTAGAGACCAGACTTCTTGAATAACCATTACTGTTATCAATGAAGAAAGGGTACACTGTTGCCATGGAAACCATTAACATTATGTATGCATATGAGTTGCATATTTACAATCTGTATTATTTAAATGGAATGGCCATATATTCTTTTATTTTCTCGTTTGAAAGAACATTTAAAACCAAAAAGAAAATTCTTTTACCGTTTTTTCATATCTTGCTTACTTCTACAAATATTTTAATCGAAAGAAATCAAATGTCTGCCATCTTGGATTTTTGTAGATATGCATGTTACGTCACAACAGGGGTCACGCAATATTTTTATCTAGACAACCACAAATCATTTTGCACTCAAAATTGTACTCTGTATGTGCTTGGAAATATCAAGATTACTTGAAACCTTTAAAACATCTACCAATCAATATTTGGTCAGCAACAAATACTTTTATATGGTTAATCCCTGTTGTGACGTCACCAAAACTACCGTTAATGAGATAAAAAATTATCCAAGATGGCTAACATGTCATTACTTCAAGTGAAAATATTTCAAGAACTAAGTGGGATATGAAGAATCGGTAAAAGAAGTTATTAAATAGTTTCAAAAATTCTTTCAAATGAGAAAATAAAAAAATATATTGCCATTTCCCTTTAAACTTCAATTTGATATACAATTTGATGTATCTGTGATAAATGTCTCAGGCACAACTTATTTTCTTTTCCACTTATTGGGAAAACAGCATTTTTCCAAAAATAAATCTATGCGGCAAAGGGTTAAGCAAGCCACGTTTTTGTCAACACGGACCTCAGATCTCCGAGGGGGATCTGGTTTAATTAAAAAGTGTTTTGTGTCAGATTGTAGTAGTCTTCAACACATATGACAAAAGTCAAAACATAAGATTTTTAAAGCTTTTTGCTTTCGTACACGAGGGCCATGATGCACAATGGCCCCAAACTTAGTTAAACTAAATTAGTTCTAAATGGTACATCGGCAACGTATGGCAACCTGGTAGAACAGTAGCCCCATATTTGTTATATTTTTGTATATACTATGTGAATCCAAATATTTTTAAGCTTAGAATAATTTTGACTATATTTATTATGTAATATTACTGAAGGTTTACCGTGTTTTAAATAAAGGCCATGTATGTATGTATGTATGTGTGTATGTATGTATGTATGTATGTATGTAGTTAAATATTCACTGCTGCCACGTGCACGCATGCGTATATACACTGTAAGCACGCAGTACAAAAAATTAAAATGGGAGGATTAGTTTTTGTTGAGGTAGGAAAACCAGAGTAACATGTATGAAATCTCGAAACACATCAGGAAACAACCAACCATCAACTCTATTATACTCTGCACGAGTATATATAGTCTTCTAATTCACAATCTCGTGCCAAGAGCATGCCTGTTCGGAGGTTATAGGGTTGGGCATAGCCTAACCTGCGAACAGGTATGCTCTGGGAACGAGATTGCCCAATGGATAATTCCAGCTATGGACTAAATTTTGATCCAGACAAGGACGAAATCTATCATTATTAGGGTTGGGCGATATTTCGATATTTTGATTTATCGCGATATATTCAAACGCGATTATCGTATCGAAGGTAGAAACTTGAGCGACGATATATCGAAATTATCGTCATGCTCGATGACTATCATGATATTGCTTCACATGTGTATATAGCTGTTATAAAATCCTAAAAAATTCCTTCAATTTCTAGAAAATATAGTTTTTAAAAGAATTAAAACTATTTACTGAATTAAATACGAATTTAATACGATATAAAAGCTAATATTTATGTAATTAATCCGCTGAACAATGAAATTGACAAATTGCTGCCTTGCTTGCGCCTGTGTGCCCACGGCATTTGTGCCTGAGGAGACACAGTAGACACTGCATAGGTAGTTCAGGTTTATGAACAGTAAATATTAGACAAGAAAAAGCCTTCTTATTACTTTAATTTGTTGTTTTACTTGTCATTGTTTTTATTGCATTTATCGCGATATTATCCAATATCGCGATAATTTCCTCCACAATAATCGTGAGATGATTTTTTTAATATCGCCCAACCCTAATCATTATATCTTAAAAGAACATCCTTAAATTATTAAAATTGCCAAATTTGGTTGCAAAATGTTGTAAAATACGGAAAATATATATAGCCCTATGAAATTAGCACATTTTGAGTATTTTACTATTACGCGCGGAAAAATGCATTTTTCCGCGTGAAATACTAAAATACTCAAAGTTTCCTAATTTCAAAGGCTATATTTTTCGTATTTTACAACATTTCGCAACCAAACTTTGCAATTTTACTAATTTTAGGATGCTCTTTTGAGCTATAATGATAGATTTCGTCTTTCTCGTCTAGATAAAAAATTAGTCGATAGTATAAATACCCTGGCAACAAGCTTCAGTATATCGCGGGCCTAGAATTCAGCGGTATTAGCGCCTGATCTTGGAATACCTGCTGGTGTTTTCCTTTTCTTATTTTCTTCCTATAAGATAAGAAAATTAATTTTCAAATACCCGCAACATAGAAATACAGTAATTCTTCTTATTTAACTAGGGAAAGTGTACAATACCCATGAAACTAGCTCAAATTAAATGTCAAATTCGGTTGTTTGGTAAAAAAATCCTGGCTTCTCGTAATAAAAACAAATATGAAAGCAAGATAATTGTTTTTATGTTTTTTCTTCTAATGTTTGCAAACTTTACATTTCCAATTTTATACGTACGGCATCGACATCCAGATACAACGTCCAGTCTCCCTTTTAGTTTATAGTTCCTTTTTTTAGTGGTGCACGGTTAATATAGTCAGTTGACAGTTTATAGCTTTGGTTTTTGCTCTAAAGTTAAATCCAACACATGCATTTTCACAGTTGAAGCAGAGAAAATTGCAATTCACATGGACAGGGCGTTCTTCAAAAGGTAACCGTGGACCTTCTGTAAAACAAAATAAACAAAATGTTAAGAGGTTCTAGATAATTGCGTTATACGATATAGATGAGAATTTTTTCAGAACAATACATTTACTAGCATGCTACATAAACTGTGTTTTATAACTGAGAACAAAGTCAAAGGCTCACCACTGTTGACGATTTTAAAATGTCTTTTGCGACATTGTTCTGCCTTAAATCTTGCAATAATAACCAGAATCAGAAAAAATTGAAGACACAAATTTTTCATCATGTTTCCTCTGCAGTCACGCAATACTCAATAGGGAGTTTAAGATGCCTACAAGGAAAAACGGGTATCGACTATTTGGTCGATAGCTTGTTTTCGTATTACTTTAACTGAGACAAACAAAATTTACATCCTTTTCACCGTTACGACCTTGACTACAACATACTCTTGTCTTGTAAAACAGAATCAAGAACGTATTGGAGAGTGTATTCTTATTAAAAAACTGCACGAAACCTTATAGTAAAAGATGAAACTTGCGAAACACAAAGTCATATGCACGTAAATATATGCCACGCCTGCTTCCAAACACACTCCGCGGTCATCATGATGTTGTAGAATCATTTTGTGTTCGTAGGGATTCGTTCACGATTTTGGTAGGTTGCTATAGTTGATGAACGTTGTTGTGGACCATTCAAGGTGCATGGTGAATAATAATATCTTTCCAGGTTAAAATATTGAATGTTGGTGATATTCAGGTGGCCCCATGTACGGTAATCGAGGAATCCAGAATCCAAACATCGGAGGAATCCTGAATCCTTATTTTGGGCTAATTTTCTGGAATCCTGAGTAAATCCAATTAGTCTATAGTAGTGGGATCTGGAATCCAAGGAGTGGAACTGTCCGGAATCCAAGGAGTGGAATCCAGAATCCAAGGAGTGCATGGATTACCTTACATGGGCCGATTGAGGGCACTGAACGTTTTCATCCAGTGCGCTGCTTAATTGTGGTCAAAATTTTGTTCAAAAGCAAATAATAATAAGACAAAAACAGCAAAAAATGGTTTACAACCAATCACCATTTTGGATGGATTGCATGCAAGCAAGGAATTCCTTTGTCAAATTCGTTCAAAAATGGTGCTGATGATGTAAGGTGAAACAAGGTTAACCATGGGGCTGTTTGGAAAATATATAGAGGATATTACACAACGGCGCGAAGATATGACTTTTATCTTTGAGCGGTGAAAGCAATATTTTACGAACGAGCGCAGCGAGTGAGTAAAATATTGTTTTTAACACGAGAAGATAAAAGTCATATCCTCAAGACACCGTGCAATGTTCTGTTTATTATGTAGTCCCAAGCAAAAAATTGTGAAATTTCACTCTCAAAAGTAAATTGGAAAAAGTCACGTGATCGATAACTTTACTAGTGAAGGTATGGAAAATATCTCGCTGCGTATTTTTCAGTATCTCACTTTGTACTATATAATAAATTAGTAATCAGTCTAAAAATGAACACTCAGGTCATATATATGAGACAATGATTATTATTCATCTCGGGAAATTACTTAAATATACAGCACATTTATTGACAGTAGCTATAGTACAGTAACATAAAATACTCGTATACTTGGTAATTAATAGTCGTATTTAATTTCACTGATATGCAGTGCATTCATTTACGTTATTTTCTATCTTACTGTGTTTCTAAATGCAAAACTACGTCATGAAAATTTAATCAAAAGTTAATTAAAATAAAATGTTTCAACCTCGTTAGGTGCGAAGTTATAAGTGCCAGCGAGAAGTTCCTTCGCCTTGGTTGAGCTGTAGGAATACCCGCTTGGTGTCTGATAGGAATGGCCAAAATTTGTGTAGGAAACATTATTTTTTGCATTGGCATTATTTGGAATACGAATATCATGACCACCACCAAATGTAGGACCATAAGTAGGTGTAGAGTATAAAGCATATTGATTGGTTTTGACAGCAGATTTGAAGGGTGCGAGGTTGTCTTTATTCACGAAGGAGAAGATAAATGCATTGGAACTACTTCTGTAACCTGACGAATCTAAAGAAAAAGGAGAACCTGATGAATCTAAGGAAAAATGAGAAACAAAGAAGGTTGAAACCTGAATTAGTATTTCTGCACAAGTGAACATAACAAATCCTACAAGTTGATTGGTCAAATTTGACGTATTAAGCTGTATTGGAACTACTTCTGTAACCTGACGAATCTAAAGAAAAAGGAGAACCTGATGAATCTAAGGAAAAATGAGAAACAAAGAAGGTTGAAACCTAAATTAGTATTTCTGCACAAGTGAACATAACAAATCCTACAAGTTGATTGGTAAACATTGACGTAATAAGCTGTTATATATATTCACCTACAGGTTCTACAGGTCAATATAACAAAACAGAAATTTTCAAAATGGCGGCTACCCGTTTTGTGGAAATTTCCTGACAAAGAAATAAGCGAAATTAAAATAAATTCAGTCTCAAAAAACACAAAAGCTTGCATGTGTAAAAATACTAAAACAATTATCCGCCTCAGGCTCGGTGATTATCGGGGAATATTCACCTCGACTTCGTCTCGGCGAATATTCCCCGATAATCACCTCGCCTTCGGCGAATAATTGTTAAATATTCACCTATACATGCAGGTGAATATAACAAAATCGCAAAATTTTTAAAATGACGGCTAGCCGTTTTGTGGACGTTATACTGATAAAGAAATAAGCGAAATTAAAATAAATTTAGTTCCCAAAAATACAAAAATACTAAAACAATTATTCGCCTCAGGCTCGGTGATTATCGGGGAATATTGAATTCACCTCGACTTCGTCTCGGCGAATATTCTCCGATAATCACCTCGCCTTCGGCGAAAAATTGTTAAATGTATTGAATATTTGAACTATATGCAACATCCAGGTCTTACTATTTTCTTGCTGGAATTAATTTAAAATTGGTAATTGACTGAAGGGATTTTTACCGATTTCATTGGAGTAAAATGTTAATCCAATTTAGTCGTAACTTTGAGTAATTTTTACAGATCAAAATGTTTCGAGAAAAATCGAGATCGATATTGCTTTGATCGTATACAAGCATGCTTTGTAATTCAAAATAAAAAAATTCAATTATAAACTAACTTCCAAAAGCTACATCGCAGTATGCGCCAAAGATGTAGGATCCAGAACGGATGATGGTGACAGTCGGTTTCTTAAAATCACACCGAGAATGGAAGGTAGATCCTGTCCAACCATCATCCGTAGCACGGTAACATAACTTCCACGACTTTACGCCACCAAGCCATTCCTCTAACTGAACAATGTAGTTTTGCTGCTGATTCAAAATTTCTGAGCCATTCAGACCGTCTGCAACGAATAATGCATGAACGTCAATTATCCTCAAGCTTACATCAGAAAAATGATTAAATACAAAACACTAAATTACCTTAACGATACAGTATTTATAATAATTTTTTTATTTAGGAATAGACCATTATCGAATTTTCTTGAATGCATGTCAGCCTTGAATTCTATAGTTGCTTCGTATATGCACTCAAACTGCAAATTCGGGAACTGTAATAATGGGGGCGAGAGCCCACAGTTTGTGACTCATTGAGCTCAAGCGGAATGCACTATGGTGCATTGTGCATTGTACGTACGTGCACGGAACTTTTCCTATACAGTGATTCCTACAGGCGTTCCAGACGTGTGTCTGTATATAGTGAATATATAATTGCTGCGGAGCGAGCGAGCCTGAAGCGAGCGAGCGTATATATATAGTGTTTGCGGTGGTTAGGACAATGCATGATGGTGTTGTAATTTTAGACTGGGAGGTTCAGATTTGACATCCACTACAGGTACCACAACCTCTCACTGGCTTAGTACGCATCACAACCTCTCACTGGCTTAGATTAAATCGCATCTGATTATTATTTCAGATATATTAAACGCATCTGTTTGGTTAAGGTCCCTTATCGATAGCGGTGGTGCAAATCAAATATGAATCCCACGATTGTAAGTTGCGTGCATTTAACATGATCCACCATGAAGCTACTGAAATGAGAATCAAGCACTTACATAAGATAACCGTGCAGTTGTGTCCTGTTGTTTTTTCGGGACAAACGCAGTGATAAAATGGCTCCTCACATGTGTCCAGACAGGTCCCTCCACTGAGGCAGGGGTTTGGATCGCATCCCTATGATAAGAAGATATTGAAACAAAAATAAACTTCAGGCCTTCAAGAGAAACAATTACATATATAATTATTCCTAACAAGACGTTCTCCACTTCGGTCGAAGTAGCGTGTAGTTCCGAATCCGTCCGTCTTGTATGAACGCTGCAGTCTTACCTGGGGAGCACACGTTCGAGTTATTTGAAAAACGCGCGCGAAGGCAATCTCGTTCCCAGAGCCTGCGATCCTCGGGAAGGAACGCGAGGCTCTGGGATAATCCGTTGCCGGAAGCCAGGAATCCTGGCTAAGATTGAACTATAATTGAACTACGCATTCCATTTCAACGGCCAATCAGATTCCTCCCTGAAACGGATTATCCCAGAGCCTCACGTTCCTTCCCGAGGATCGCAGGCTCGGGGAACGAGATTGGCGCGAAGGAGACTAAGTCGTACCGTAAATATATTTATACTCGTTATAGCACCACGGCACTCTCTTCCGATGCGCCGCTTCTACACCCGTAAAATTTTTATAAGGGGTTAAGCCGTCCTAAAACTATTTTACGTCGTATATATTTTAGCCCCCACCAAGTCATCCAACTGCAAAGCACGAAAACTAATTATGAAGCAATTTTTTGTAGCATTTTTGTTCCCCATACTTCTTTAATTCGGTGCCATAGGGAGTTACCAGGGAGCTTCGACTTTTCAACTTTTTCGGGTAACTGTTGCGCTTGTACAAAAACATGTCTTCTGTTTGGAGAGATAGAGAAGAGGGCTTATTTAAGAGGGGTGGGGGCTTATTAGAGGGTTACAAAAACTCACCTTATGAACTTCTACCACAGCCTTCTTATAAATTTCGACCACACCACTAGCTCCACTCACTGACGCTCCATCGACACTACTGCTTAGCAAACAATTCGCGCTTGATGTATAATTTAGGTATGCAAATGAATTGCATCCTGGGTAATCAAGACATTTTATGGAGCAGAAGGTCCCTTCGGTTGTCGTGGTAACCTTAATTGGGTTGAGTTGAGGCAGTCCATCTTTAAAAAAGGAGACGAACGGTTAGAATTAGTATATGAATGTTACAATATATAGGGTTGTGCAGGTTACACTGTCACATGCATGCTTTGATGAAATATAATAGATTTTAGTCAATTACGCGGGGTGCTGTTTGTTGCTCGATCAAGCCAAAGCCTCGTGACAAAGGCCTATATAAGGGCGCCGACAGAGGCCCTTATATGCCTCAGTATTCTACATAAGTATATACTAGTATGTAAGATTAGTTTTAGATTCGTTCAAATTTGGTGGAAACTTGTCAGAGAGTGTTGTTTATCTTGCTCGCATCTATTATCGCCATTATTTATTATATGGCAAGCATCACTTGCAGTGAAATGGCGGACTGTGATTGACTGAGAATCACCCGCGGCGGTCCATTACGTAAAAACAAACGCATGTATTTTAAACAAAACAGCAAAAACTAATTGAAGATATGAAAATGATGACAACATTCAAAACAACATGGACCAATGTTTTGATTTCCACCTGCACCGGTACTCTTTGTAGTTTTGACCACATTAATAATATGCAACCATTTATTTTGGAATTTAGTTGCTAAGCACTTAGCTGTCCTTGATTAATTATAGCGATTATCGATCCGAATGAGTATCGTATAAAGGCCGATTTAAACTACAAACTTTTGCATAAAACTGTCGCATGCAACATGCTTACAACTTGAGTTGTACTGTGCAAGTCAAGCACACAACTCGCTAACGTTGTGGTAGATGAGTTGTGTTCTTGATTTATACAGTACAAGTTGTAAGCAGATTGCATCGGCGACAGTTTTAGGCAGAAGTTGTGTATGTGTAAATCGGCCTTATAGTCGAGGGTCTCGAGGAGTTTTAGGAAACAAAGCCGCGAAAAATCACAGGAGACAAGGGAACATATAGTGAAATCTTTTTTGGGGAACAAGGAAACAATGGAAACTGATACTCGAGTTATATCAGTATTCTCGCAAGCAGTTTCTGTTTCCTGGTAATTTATGTCGTATTATAGTTAAGCTAAGCAAATGCATGTAGACAGAGTTATCACACATATACTAGTATACTGAGCTTTTAAATTTAGTCTTTTAAGTGGATCAGAATACCCCTAGACATATGCAGTTGTTTGTTCCGTAGAACACTAAAAACCCGGGCCGACGTAACGTGTGCGGGACACCGTTAAAAATATTGGCATTTTCAGTGCGCCTTTGGGGCTTTATTTTTGAGGGAAAGGCAACATTCGAAAAAGTAAACTGAGGTCAAAGCAGTTACAATTACAAAGTTACTTTTTGGAATGCTATCAAATCTGGAGGCATGTGACGTGTACGAAACATAAATTCATACCTGGTTCCACTTTGACAAACTGTCCCTCGCGATGACACTCGTACCCAACAGCCAAGCGCTGTAGAGTTATGCAAAGGAAAAATAATATCGTCGTCCCGAAATTTACTGACATAATTTTAGAATCTTTTACGTCGACTGATCTGTGCAATTTATTTACTATTTAGTCCTTAGGAGGACTATTTGGATCGACGTCATGCAGTTCACAGCTGTGCAACAGCTCAAATAGAACCCGCAGCATATATTGTAATAATTTGTATACGGTTGACTAATTTAGTTCTATTTTCTCTTAATGCCCGCAGTAATCCCTACCTTGCAGGTACCCTAGTTTATATAGAGAATAATACATGAGTGTGCGGAATACCAGATTTATTTCGAGTGTTGAACATGATATTATATTTATTATTTTTTATATTTATTATATAAAGGACAGTCTTTGAAAAGCGATAATTTTTTCAGAAAAGCGATAATTGAAAAGCGATAATTTTTACATGTGAGATTATCATGAATAATCTCACATGTGAGATTATCACTTTTATCAGTGCTCGAAATCTCTGTAAAGCACTATACTTTATATATAATAAAAAATATTAATGATATCTTTTATTTGTTTCTGATAAAACCGTGATAAATTAACCGTGATTAAATCCAAATATATATTCTCCGGAACCCTGTGTTTAATACTTATTGTATTTCTTCATTGACATTTTTCTATCCATGTTTTGTAAAGATAAAAGATAATATTTAATAATGTTCTCTATCTTTTGAAACCTATATAAATCAAACACATTTTACTAAAAACAAACTGCTGTTAAGTTTCCAATGAACCACCCCCTTTTAGATGTTCAAAATTCGATGACCCACTCCCTGTTTTTTCCAGCTCCCCCCCCCCCCTGTACTTTATTACCGGTCCCTAATTTTTTGACTTACGCCATTTTGGGTGATAAATTTTTAGAGCCAATGGCTCGTTTTCCCTATTTCCACTCGTGTTGATATATCTGTAGTCAACACGGAAATGTTTCCGTGTGCCGCCCCCCCCCCCGGCCGGTCGATCTCTTCCGAAAATTAAGGCTTTGTTTTAATTGTAGAAAGCGTTCAAATTAAGACATTGCCTTAATTTTTAACCTAACCCCAACCCAACCCCCACCCTAACCTCTAATTCTAATCTAATCTTAGTCTAACCCTAATCCAATCCAAATCTGGCAACTTTTTTTTTTCAATAGTCATGACGTTATTGTAGGACTATCTTGTGTTCCGTATAGAGATGCCATCACGACTTTGGTCGGTTGTTATATAGTTGATGTACATAGTTGTGGACCATTGAAAGGTGATGAATATTCATATCTTTCCATCTTGAAATATTGAATGTTGATGATATTTCAGGGTTCTGAAAAATTTTCATCCAGGGTGCCACTTTAATTGCGGTCAAAATTTTGTTGAAATCAGTGTGACCAGATTTGGTAATTTTAATTACTTATCATCAAAATTTTGTTGAAATGTAAATAATAACAAGACAAAAACAGCGAAAGATGGTTTGCAAGTAATCACCATTTTGGATGGATGGGTGGATTGCATGCATGCAAGCAAGGATAGGAATTTGTTTGTCAAATTCGTCCAAAAATGGTGCTGATGCAATGACGTAAGGTGAAACCGAGGTTTACCAGGGCTGTTTGGCAAATATATTAGTGTAAAATCAGTGAAAACTGAACACGTTATATCTGAGACAATGATTATTTTTCATTCAAATTACTTAAATACAGCTCATTTATTGACAGTAGCTATAGTACAGCAAGATAAAATACTCGTATACTTGGCAATACTCGTATTTAATTTCACTGATGTGCAGTGCATTCATTTACGTTATTTTCTATCTTACTGTGTTTCTAAATGCAAAATCAACGTCTTGAAAATTTAATCAAAAGTTAATTAAGATAAAATGTTTCAACCTCTTTAGGTGTGAATTTATAAGTGCCAGCGAGAAGATTCTTTGCTTTGGTTGAGCTGGAGGAATACCAGCTTGGTGGTCGATAGGTATGGCCAAAATTTGTGTAGGAATCAGTATTTTCATTGGCATTATTTGCAATATAAATATCATGACCATAACCAAATGTGGGACCATAAGTAGATTCAATGTATAAAGCCTTTCCACTGTTTCTGACAGGAGCGGATTTGAAGGATGCGAGGTTGTCTTTATTCACGAAAGAGAAGATAAATGCATTGGAACTACTTCTGTAACCTTTCGCCGAACCTAAAGTAAAAGAAGAAACAAAGCAAGTTGAAACCTGAAATGCATTGAAATATCTAAACTATATGTAACATCTCAGCCTCTTGCACTTTTCATGCTACGGACAGCCACTAGTCAAAATTTGAGTTAGGAATGAAATTTAAAATTCGAAATTGACGGAAACGATATTCACCGATTTCATTGGAGTAAATGTTAATCCAGGATGGTTGTAACTTCGAACTTTAATTTTGCGGATCAAAATGTTTCACGAAAAAAGCGAGATCGATAAAATTCTGTGGAGAAGCTTGATGCGTAATTTTCATTTTTATATTGCTTGAATCGTACAAGCGTGCTTTTTCATTTCAAAATAAAAAAATGCAGGTATAAACTAACCTCGAAAAGCTACATCGCTGCATGCACCAAAGATGTAGGATCGAGAACGAATGACCTGCCTAATATATAATTGCTATTACTCGTTGAACCCTTATTCATTGACTTGCTGGAAAAGACCTCTTCTGTTACAAAATGTTCCTCCAAATCGCTCCTTATATATCCTTTTTTATTCACACAAACACCATTGTTCTTGCAGGATTGAATTTCACATGGTTGAACTGAATATGAAACATCATTCCTAATTAAATGCTAAGCCTGTATCTTACCAATTGTGAACAGTCAGGGGGGGGGGGGGCATTCACATTGGAAACATTTTATTCCATCAGTACAATTTCCTCCATTTTTACAGGGTCCACTGTCACATCGATTCACATGGTCGAACTGGAAGACAAATATTCTGTTAGGGTCGTAAGCTTCGTCGTAAACTATAGAAACCGCTCGATAGGGCCTGCAACCATAATTTCAGACCAACCAAAACAAAAGGGGTTGCCCGAAACTCTGATCCTAGCTCAGTCCTAATTCATTCTCGAATCAGGTCTTCTGTGTACACGGACTGATGTAAGGCCAATTTCCTTGATTATGGATTTTAAATTTTAATATGAGCTACTGATATCAGTACTCAGCAGAATTTTGACTTCTACTTCATTTTTTAATCAATATATAATGATCAAATTTACAGGACCCGTGTTGTGTGGTTTTTAGCCAGATTTCTTGTGTAAACGCATCCATGGCAGACCCAAAAAAGACTATGTTAATTAACGATACTGTGTCAAGGTTTAACGATATGATAATGTATATATGTTATCAGTACTCCCATCTTGTTGCAAGAATCTTTAGGTACGCCCATACTCGAACGAACGAACGAATCGTCACTAAGTGATATTATTATATACACAAGGTCTGGATATGAGGTATTCTGCAATCTGATTGGTTCTCTACTAGCAGGATATTAGCTCATATCCTGCTAGTAGAGAAAAACAAAATGGCGGCCAGACTGAATTTACGATGTTTTGCGAACGAGAAAACGGCAAGTTGTTCGCTTTTTATAGCCTTCACAGGATTAAAAACAATGAAAAAACTTCCACAAATTGTTTTCAGGTTAGCAAATAAATTTTTAAAATTTAAAATGGTTAAAAATATATATTTTTGAAAAAATAATCGGCCGAAAGAGCGAAGATAAAAACATAAACAAAATAAAAAATATTGAAAATATTCGAAAAGCAAAGTCTGTGAATTCAGACCTTGTGTATATAATAAAACAGTTATTCCACTCACTCTCGTCGAATATGAGCGATAGCCGATTCGGCGCTACGCGCCTCATCGGCTATCAGCTCATATTCCACTCGAGTTCGTAGAATAACTGTTAATTAGTATAAACCTACTAGTAGGCTATCACATTTCGTGCCTTCTGATTGGCTACGCTACTAGTAGGCTATTAGTGATAGCCTACTAATAGAAAATTCAAAATGGCGGAAAATTCGCGTTTTGCACTTTTGCCGAAGTGTCTGATGATTTTTTGGACGACTTGTTGAACAATTCTGTACTAAAAAATCCCGGAAAAAGCAACAAAAATATGGAATGACAATTTTTAAGGGTAAGAAAATAGACAAAATAACATACACTCAATGAAAAAAAACATACAAAATTTACTCAAATGTCCATGTTATCTGGGAAACGCTGCGGAGTTATAAAATAGACTCTGAGTTTGTATGACTTGGCACGAAAGAAATATCATGGTACAAGTTGAGGCACTCGAATAGGCTCAGCCGATTAGGTTCAATAGTATTGTCAAATTTAACAATACTGTGTGGGGTTTAATTATATGATAATGAATATATGTCATCATATTCTCACGTTGTTAGAAGAATCTTCAGGTAACGCCCCTGCATGCTCTTACGAACGGATCGTCACGTTGTAAGTTCGCCGTTTCAGAGAGACGGTGGAGCCGTGGAGGGGTACCATACATGCCCCTGCAGTTTTTCACAGAGTAAAAGAAAAAAATTCAATTGACATATATAATATGTGGTTAAAATAATCCGACCGCATTAGGCTTCAGTCACTCGCGTGCCCCCCCCCCCCAGCCCCGCTTTCAAACACTCTCCGCGGTCATGATGTTGTACAGTCATTTTGTATTCGTAGTGATTCGTTTACAATTTTGGTAGGTTGCTATAGTTGATGTGTATAGTTGTGGACCATACAAGGTGGTGAATAATAATATCTTTCCATGTTGAAATATTGGATGTTGATGATATTCAGGGCGCTAAAAAATTTTCATCCAGCTAGTGCGGTTTAAATTGTGGTCAAAATTTCTTCAATATGCTAAAAATAATAAGACAAAAACAGCAAAAATTGGTTTACAACCTAGATATCTTATATAACATATCTATGGTTTACAACCACTGAGCTATATTGCCATTTTGGATGGATGGATGGATTGCATGCATGCAAGCAAGGAATTGTGTTTGACAAATTCGTCTAAAAATAGTGCTGATGACGTGAGGTGAAACCATGCAAGTAAACCAGGGCTTTTTGGCAAATATATTAGTAATCAGTCAAAACTGAAGACGTTTATATATCTGAGACAATGATTATTATTCATTCAAATTACTTCAGTAGCTATAGTACAGTGACATAAAATACTTGTATACTTGACAGTACTCGTATTTAATTTCACTGATGTGCAGTGCATTCATTTACGTTCTTTGCTATCTTGCTGTGTTTCTAAATGCAAAACTACGTTATGAAAATTTAATCAAAAGTTAATTAAGATAAAATGTTTCAACCTCGTTAGGTGTGAATTTATAAGTGCCAGCGAGAAGACTCCTCGACTTGGTCGAGCTCCAGCGATACCCACTTGGTAGTCGATAGGTACGGCCAAGATTTGTATAGGAACCAGTATTTGCATTGGAATTATTTGAAGTACAAATATCTTTACCTCTACCAAATGTGGGACCATAACCAGCATTAGTGTATAAAGCATATCCATTGTATCTGTAGACAGGAGATTTGAAGGGTGGGAGGTTGTCTTTGTTGACGAAGGAGAAGATGAATGCATTGGTACTTCTTCTAAAACCTGTCGAACCTATGGTAGAACGAGAAACAAAGAAAGTTGGAGATCGATAAAATTCTGTGAAGAAGTTTGATGCATAATTTTCAACACAAAATTGCTTGAATCATACATGATTTTTATTTCAAAATAGACATAAAATACACGGTGCATGATAAACTAACCTCCAAAAGCTACATCGCTGTATGCGCCAAAGATGTAGGATAGAGATCGGATGATGGTGACAGTCGGTTTCTTAGAATCACACAGAGAATGGAAGGTAGATGCTGTCCAACCATGATCCGTAGCACGGTAACATAACTTCCACGACTTTGCGCCACCAAGCCATTCCTCCAACTGAACAATGTAGTTTTGCTGCTGATTCAAAATTTCTGAGCCATACAGACCGTCTGTAACGAGTAATGCATGAACGTCAATCGCCCTCAAGCTTATATCAGGAAAAATGATTAAATAAAAAACACGTAATTACCTTAACGGCCCTTATGTATATGATCATCTTCGGATGGCATTTCAGGTGTTTTATTTGTAATATATTTTTATTTCGGAACAGACCATGATTATCGAATTTTAAAATATTGGCTATAATTTATACATGCAGTAGGATCACGACGTCAGCCTTGAATTCTAGTTGTTTCGTGTGCACTCAAACTGCAAATTCTGGAAGTGTAATAACTTTTAATTGGATGAAACGACAAAGGAGCATCTCGATCATTGGATAATGACTGGATGGAATATTCAGTATAATTGCTATTGGGGAGCTTAAGCAAACGACGTTTTTGTCGACACGAACCTCAGATCTCCGAGGGGGGATCTGATTTAGAAAGTGTGTTTGTATCAGATTGTGGTAGTCTTCAGCACATGACAAAACATAAGATTTTTAAAGCTTTTTGCTTTTCGTACACGAACGCTATGAGGCACAATGGCCCCCAAATTAGTTAAACTAAATTGTTACGTAGCAAGTGTCAAAGTTCAATTTTCCTGTTTGCCGATTCGTCAAAACCGTATCACGTGCCGGTCCACAAAACGTCATCTTCACTGCTTGCTTTGATGAGAGGGCAACCGGTCAACAATGAAACAATTGTTGACCGGTCAATAATAGAATGAGTGCAAACAGTGAAGTTCCACAGGGTTCATTTTATTAAACGTTTTTTATTAAACATTTACGGCATCCATTTATCTAGTTTTGGTTTCAAAGTTCACGTACTCCAATAACCGGTGAATTATTTCATGATACTTTGACACTACATAACAAAACACTTATTTACTGAGACCTCGGAAGGGTAAATATAATCTCCCAATTCAAGATAAATTAATACCCTGGCAACAACCTTCAGTGAGCGGGTCTAGAACTCAGCACGTGATCATGGAATACCTGCAGATCTTTTCTCATTTTCTGCCTATAACATAAGAAAATTAATTTTCAAATACCCGCGAAACACATAAATAATTCTTATTCTAATTACGCCAAGGCGGTTCATCTGCAAAATGCAGCGTTTTGATTGGTTCCTGAACGATCGGTAACCTGCAGTATACAGATTGCTAGGATGAACAATTAACTCGCGCAAAAAACTATGCCTGCCTAAAATATATAATCATGGGCTATTAAATTAACCCGCAGTAAATTAAAGACAGTTATTTAACTAGGAAAAGTATACAGTACCCATGAAACTAGCTCAAATTAATTGTTAAATTCGGTTGTTTGTAAAAAACAATTCTAGCTTCTCGTAACAAAAAACAAATATGAAAGCAAGATAATTGTTTTTATGTTTTTTCTTCTAATGTTTGCCAATTTTATACGTACGGCATCGACATCCAGATACAACGTCCATTCGTCCGCTTCTTTATAGTTCCTTTTCTTAGTGGTGTTAGTCAGTTGACAGTTTATAGCTTTGGTTTTCGCTCTGAAGTTAAATCCAACACATTTTGATACACTGAAGCAGAGAAAATTGCAATTCACATAGACAGGGTGTCCTACATTCTGGCTTGATATGATCTCTTCGGGAGGTAACCGTGGACCTTCTTTAAAACAAAATAAACAAAATGCTGAAGAGGTTCTAGACAATTGCGTATATGACGATATAGTTGAGCATTTTTTCAGAATTCAGATCAATAAATTACTAGTATATACATGTATATAAGCATTATTATTGTCCTGCATGCTACATAAACTGTGTTTTATAACTGAGAACAAAGACTCACCACTACTGACGATTTTAAAATGTCTCTTGCG